ACTCTCTCTCTCTCTCTCTCTCTCTCTCTCTCTCTCTCTCTCTCTCTCTCTCTCGATATCCTCCAAGTGTTCGAGACCTCTCTCTCAAAAAATACTGATCCAAAAGAAAATAGAAAAGCAAAAAAGAGGATGATCTTTAAAAATTTCATGCGTTACCTTACGCACACACATACACTAAACGCACACTAACATTAAACACATACATTTACATTCACAAAACACACACACAAAACAACATATGGCTCTCACCCCAACCCCTTCCCTTAGGGCGCCTTTGTGTATGAGCGCCCACCAAGGCAACCCAGACCTTTGGACGCCTAGGTGGCTGCCTCCGCTTTTTTTAACATTGTGCATGACCTACTTGCTTGTATCTGGAGTTTAGATGACAATTAATTCAGGCTCAAACCTCAATAACAAGATCATTCGAGTAGTGACTTTTGATCTAAAAAATTTAGAAGATGGCCTAGCAGATGGCCTACTACAACCCAGATAACACTGCAAAGGAGAAAACTTTTGATTTACATACACCAAGTGTGTATTTGATAGAAGTCAACAAAGCACACCATAGAATACCTTAACCACAATATAGGGAAACAACAAGGAAAAAACCAGGTACATTATCAAATATCAATAAGTAGACAAACAGAGATGTAAGTGGATTGCATCATTTGAAGCAGTTCATATCTGACCCAGCATCACATCTCCCCCAGAGACATTGAATTCTGAAGGAACCTTCTCAACATTGAAAGCCTGTATTTTGCCGTCAACTACATAGGCTGACCATCTGCAAAAGAACATGCAAGAAAAAAGCATCCGGTCATGCCATCTATCTCCTTTGGACCTTCTAAGAAACATATAAAGCCTTAAGCCACAAATTTACCCAGGTTTGTTGAAAATCATGCAGAGAATCATAAGAAAAATATCTTGCCAAAACACTACAAGTGAGCAAGGAGCGCTAAATTTATGAGCACGCACAGACAGAGACATCAAATCATTAAAATGAAGAACAATAGTGATGAATAAGTTAGCAAAATATAAGCAATAGCTGCCAGCAATATCTTGCCAAAACACTACAAGTGAGCAAGGAGCACAAATCGCTAAATTTATGAGCACGCACAGACAGAGACATCAAATCATTCAAATGAAGAACAATAGTGATGAATAAGTCAGCAAAATAAAGCAATATGGCACACTGAAAGATATGTTTAAACCCAAAAAACGTGGGAGTTTGATATCCCAGGCACATCACCTTGTCATCTACAACTAGTATTACACACACCAGACACTTGAAAACTTTTTAGGTTATGCTGTCATGTAAATCATATGACTTTCTTTTTTGAAATGCATGTACGTATATGACATACATACAAGCACGTGGGATACTTATACAAAGGCATACAGGCACACATGTGGACAGAAACATTCACATACATTTGTAAGCATGTAAGCATGTAAAATATACATACATATGTAACGTATTCTCGTATGAATGTTTATAGGCACACACATAACGAGGACATCCTTTTTGCATTGTTTTTGCAAGTCTGAGAAACAGGGCAATAATGACCAAAATCCCATATCATTACTTAACAACCTCTTTTTTTAACTGACAATGCATCACTGCACAACTTTGAGCATCAAGGTCTTATTTTATTTTTATAATCAACTTCTAGCATGAAGTTTAGATCAAAATTTTGTTAATGAAATCTAACAGTTTTATTACATCCAATATACTTCCAGAGCGAATTGCTAAAAACACCACAGCCAATGACATCTAACAATCACTGGAATATTCGGAAAGCACAACATATTGAGAAAGAATACATTAATCCCTAGAAACGTCAAAAGTTTGTAGGGAAACCAAAGCAATCCATACCAGTTCACTTTAAATTTTACAAAGAGTTGAATGACACCCATAGTCCATGTCAAGATGAAAAGAAACTTAAGGATATTCCAATCTTACAAGAGTAGGTTTTCCTTTGTTTTATTTTTTTTCCTTTCTTTTTTCATAATATTGAGGAAGGAAACTGTTGCATCAATCTTCCATGAGTAGTTTGACTAATTGCCACAATAAAGTACATCAAAAGGTAAGGGACTGTCAACTGAAACCAATTGATGTTACCTTTGTGAGCGATGTCCAAGCAGAGCCGAAGACAGATCCAAACCTAGATCCAAGCTCTTGTTGAAGCTCCCATCAAAGTCACCATAGAAATCAATCTGAGGTAGAGGCATAAACATTTTAAAAGATCATGCTGCCCCAAAATTTGTGATGGTTCTTGCCATTAAGTAACTTCACAACACAAGAATGGACGAGCATAAGGTGAATCTCAAAGGGAAATCTATGACTTGGTTATGAATAACCATGCATGTACACAGAGACATATTCTAAAAATAGACAATCACAGCACCCAACAGACACTGAGACATGTGAAATGAAGTAAAGGCTTAGGGGAAACTATAAGAGAAGCGCATACATCTTCCTTGGCGTTCAGCTTCTCGGCCCATCCATTCATGACATATGGATCGTTAACTGCAACGCAGACTAAAGAATGGACACCCTTTGCTTTGAATTTCTCAGCATTGTTTTTGTAGCTTGGCACATGCTGGGCTGAACACACACCAGTGAATGCCCCCTGAATATTATTAAAACATAGCTCATCATGATACTGCGGCCTACAAATATGCAGGGAAAGGAGATGATAGATATCCAAATAGAAGAGGAATAAAAACTTACAGGAAGGCCAAACACAACGACTTTCCTCCCCTGCCGGCACAAGAGCCAGAAACCCGGATGATTACAGAGAAACAAAAACGCAAACTAAAACAATGAAAAAGAATGGGAACTGAGCTCCCCCTAATTTTTAATCAATTGATAATTTGTGACAGATAATGTTCATCCATTCCAACTGCCATAAGATTGGGTAGATAAACAAAATTAATTTCATTTCCATCATAAAAGTTGCAGTTTTTAAGAACAAGCAAAGGGAGTGAGAAGTAGGTGAGGAACCTTGAAGATTTGGGAAAGAGGGGTAGTGGAGAATTTAGAGGAGACGCCCTCATCCCAGGAGCGGGCTTTGGAAAGTCGCACCTCTGGACATGAGTCCACTATATCAGTCCCAACCGCAGCAGCAAAACCCCTGGCATTGTTATAACTAGTATTGATCCTGTTGATACTACTCAAATTAGCCGCCATCATGCGTCTTAACACAACACTTGCCATGTCTTGTTCTCTCTCTCTCTCTCGCTCTCTCTCAACCCTAAAATCCAAATCAACTCTTTCCCTCTCCCCTGTGCCTGCCACACTTACTCGTGGCCCACAAGAAACCACCCAACTACGGGGGGGAGGCTACTCCAACTGTGTCTTTGCTATTACCAACTGCTACCTCTTTATTCGATTCTTTCTGGTAACGATTTTTTCTTTTTTTTTTCCAATAAATTTAAATTATTTGAAATTTTGGGAGTCTATTATTTAAAAGGAAAATGACATTTTCCTTTCACACCCATATGATTTCAAATGATTACCATTAAATTTAATACAGATCTCTCACGTCCCACATTCATATAATAATTTTTTTAGAGATCTCTCCAACTTATGTGATAATTTTTTTAAAGATTTGTGACAAATTTAATAGTGATCATTTGTTCTGTTTAAAAATAAAAAAAAATTAATAAAAATATAAAAAAATAATACACAAAAAATAAATTGATCAAAATACTTTTAAAATTTTTTTAAAAATATTTTGATTAATTTATTTTTTACATATTATTTTTTTAATATTTTATTAGGTAATTGTTAACATACGCTCACGGGATCCATTCCCTGTAAACAATTGTGTAAATGATCACTTTACATACAATCCTTATTTATGCGCTATGCGCTGCTCTTCTTCTCCTTCGGTCTAAAGCGCAGAGCCTACGTGCCCTTAGAACAGCATCTGGAGAACAATATCTGGAGATACTTGAAGGCGCATTGAAATTCGACATCTTTTCTTTTGTACAACTACAAGTAGTTTTTTTTAAAAAAATTATTTAGCGTGTGAAGATGACTCCAAGTCCAACGTGCATGCAAAATATGGGAATTCACTAAAGTCCTACTTGAAATTTGAAAGAAGGAAAAAGAAAAGAATGCAATGTGCAATGATGGCAGTTTATTGTCTCTCTTTCAATTTGTGTTATCATCATACCTAGTCCCCTGGGCCCAAAATATATGGGTCAATTGGCCTATACTGTAATATAGGTCGGATTACCAGTTCAGATGGCCCTCATTCACCAAGAAGGGTGGGGTTGTTTTTTACATTTTTTTCTGTATATAATTATTTTTATATATTTTTTCTCTACTTAGATTGTATTCATTTTTTCTCCCAAATTTCAGCTCAAAAGGATTTACATTATATACCCAAGAAAAAAGAAAAAGAAAAAGACTACAACCATTGGATGTGCTTAGATTGAATCTGAATCATCCTTATTATTTGCCAGCTGGCTCACAAGTTCAGCAAGAATTCTTTTTTATAAAGGATGGATCAAATATGATTATACTTATTATCTACATTTTCTTTGAAGTTCCTTGTTTAGGTAAATGCAGACACACCAAACCTACTGTTGTGACCACTGCAACAAAGCTCTCCGACTCCCAACAATGTTTGAAACATTGGCCCCCGTTCACATTTTGGACTTGTAAAAAATTTTGAGGTCTCCTCGGAAGTTAGGGGGTTCAGTAGGAGGCCGTATCTATGTCTCTCCTTCGGCATTCCCAAATTTCCAACTCTAATCGTCTCTCCTCCAAATGCTATATCTCTCTCTCTCTCTCTCTCTCTCTCTCTCGCTCTCTTGCAACAAGCGATTATGTTGATTTTATTTAAACCGTACCTGCTGAATAACGAGTCTGCAATAAACACTAAAGATTTGCGTGCGGACTTGAGACCTTTTGCCGTTATTTTTCAGATATATTTGCCATAGAGCTCTTGGGCAAGCTTTTTAAACTTTACTTTCCTCGAGCTGCTGACCCAAACACAATGTCATGTCTCTACACTATTACTTCTACTTTTTCTCTACAAAATATTTACTTCTACTTTTTCTCTACAAAATATTTTGATGCTAACTTTTGAGCATCCACTCCTCTTAAACCCGCACCTGTAAAAAAAAAATTATCAATAAAATAAAAAGACCAAAATCACAAAAAAAAAATTAATATTTTTTTTGGTGCGCATTATTGAGGTGATGGCACGTAACAAATTTTATATTCATAAAATTTGTTGAAAAATTCAAAAAAAAAAATACTCTCAAGCAACGGATCTTAGATCAAACGGTCAGTGACTCACTTGATCAAAATTCGACAGCTAGATGTTAGAGAAAGTATGTATCTTCTATACAGTAGAGGAAGTACAGAAACCTTTCCTGAAACAAATTAGGCATGGGCATGACATTTAGCTTGAAGTTCAGTCAGTTTTTCTGTTGGCAACTCCAATACAACAACAGAATCTCGAGGGACTCAACAACCTTTCACTGGCTTATAGATCCCCACCATGCAAAAATGATTTGGCAAACTTAAAATATTGTGCTCCTGTAGAAGGCCTTCAAACCAAAACATGGCAGGCTGTCCCACTACCCATCATTTCAGTATGCAGTGAGATACCCACCATCCAACGAGCAGAGCCCCCTGATAAATGGCTCCATTCATCAAGACGGTGAGAATCTCCCGATCCACCGTTGCAACTGGGTCACGCAAAAACCCACGGAGTTGAGGTAGGACAGCCACCAAATTTGCATTTTGTTCATAGAAATTCTATTAGGAGAAGGAACCAAAATGGTCAATATATACCTCTAGCGCAGGTTCACCCAGCTTCCCTTTGATTATTTGTTTCCGTAAATACGGGCTAATCTACAAATATGTCTCTTTCCCATTTGAGTAATTCGAGTAAAAGAAACGACTGCAGTTTTTTAGCTTCTCAGGCCTCCATCAGAATAATAAATCAAATGAATAATTATTGGTACCAGGGGCGTCAACAACAAGGTTAAAGATCCTTTCAAAACACATTTTTCAATTACTGAAAAGAGAAAAAAGGGCACAGTAGGTACAAATAAATGCTGCTAAAAAAGGACACGGCTTGTTCTCCTCATCCTCAAGTTTGTGTATTCTGTTCCAAATCCATGAACTACAACACCAGGGGAAAACTCCATCAAACCATACAAATTTGACCAGTTCATCGTCTAAATTAAAGACAATGGAGATAAGCTCCAGATAGCCTCAAACAGAAATTTTGGAGACTGAAACTTAGGAAAAGCATTCACGGAAATGAACAACAAAAATTTACCCCAAGAAAAACGAATGATAAAAGAAATAGGAGTTTACCACCAAACAAGGCCGGTGTCCACATTCTTGACACCTCATAAATACAAACTATCTCTACGCATCATGAAGTAAAAATGCCTGCTGAGACTTCTTTGAGGCTTTGAGCAACTCCGTCCTCAACTACTTATGTTCCTAGTTATCCCAAAAAAATATATTAAAAAGTGAATTACTCATCTTACCTGCCAACCATCTCCAGTAAAGTGCATGTAAATTAAATAGCATAACCCATTGCGTGGATAAGGACTGCGTGGAAATGTCATATGCATCACAACATGAACTATTTTATAGGTAAAGCGCATCAAATTTGCACAAAGTTAACATCAAAAAAAAAAATTTATAGGAAAATTGACAAGCCAAAATTAGAAAAGCTGGATTGACATTACTTTTCTCTTTTCTTTTTTTTCTTTTTTTTTACTTTCCCATAAAAATTACTGCTCCGTTTTTTTGTTAGACCTTTATAGCATCTAGCTCATCTCAATAATGTACCGCACCTTAGAGAGAATGAACTTGCAGTGTAGTCCCCTTGTTTGGGAAGAAAGACTAACCTACTTATCAATGCTGATGAGGACCTCATTCCTCCTACATATCGTGTGGCTTCCTGTAGAGAACTACATAGAGCATCTTGAGGACAATGAAGATCACATAAGTAAAACTTCCACAATGACATGAATACAGATCCATAGTGAAACATGGCAAAACATAGATTACATTTTGGCAAAAACTATGGAGGTATAAACTAAGGTAGGAATCCTTCAGACATCATGCATAGTTATTTGTGGTTGAGATAACTATATGACACGTGGTTTGCATAAAATTATCTTTTCTAAAAATTATTGCCAAATGGTTGAGATAACTATAACCCCGGCAACGGAACCCCCTTTTGTAGCTGACCACAAATAGTTGGAAAAGGCTCCGAGGGTGATGATGAGAACTATTGCCAAAATGAGGGTTAGTCTCATGTTAGCTGCAGCACGCTTGATATAATAACAAGTTGTATTATAACAAGTTTCAACGACAACAATATGTAGAGTCCCCATAGTAGTTGCCTCACTATAGAGAGAACACAAAAGCTAGCGACCAATATATGAACAAGGGCCCAGCAAGCTTATTCTGTTCTGATAGTCTCAGCCAGCACAAATACTATCATCATTCAAGCATTTTTCCCATTGATAGATTCAATAGTTGTCCAATGAATTGTTTCTTTGAAGTTGTTGTCCAACTTATTGCTCCCTCTAAATTATAAAAAATTGGGTTCTCAAATATCCAGTGACTAGTTGATTGTTATTTCACATGGACAAGAGTACATGCGTCAGTGTCTGATACGGGTATCGGATTCCTCATGCCATGACGAAGAGTATTTGGCAGCATCGATATATTAACCAAATCCAAAAACAAATCCACTAATATTCCATTGCAATATTAATAGCAAGAAATAATAAATAAATAATAAACTTATACCTTATTTGGCTAAAATTGAATTCATGTCATATTTCAAGATCGCATAAACATTTTCAAAGTTCAAATTTGTCTAGTAAGAACAAAAAAGAAGATAAAATCCATGTAACCAATACTTAACACACAAGAAGAATCCAGAAGAATCTGGCAGGCATGTGAGCCAATGCGTGTTGGACAAGCATACAACACTCGAACAGAAGGATCCAGGTACATAGGTTGATTGACTCAGATGACTCCAATTGTATGACTTTTCTATAATTGTCATCATGCCTCTATACTGATTCTTAACTTGTATTTGGCATCAAACTGGTATTTCTTAAGGGCCTTCTGAGTCCATCAAATACTACTTTTTCCATGTGTTTTTATATTACCTTATAGTTAATTTAGTTTCCAGGAAGTCAAATCAGTTTCCAAGATGAATTGTAATTCATTAAATGGATGTTTATATTCCATAGGATGAGTGCGGCTGAGTTGAAGATATTGAGATGGCTGCGTGGCAAGACAAGAAAAGATAGAATTCGAAATGAATATATACAAGTGAACTTATGTGTAGCTTCAATAGGTGACAAAGATATAGAAAAGTAGACTTGGGTGGGCTGACTATGTGCAAGGCAAACTTAGTACAACACCGGTTAAGAGGTGCGACTTGGTTCAAGTGGAAGGCTCTAGAAGAGCAAAGGGAATGCCCAAATGAACATGGATAGAAGTAGTGAGAAAAGATTTGGTGATGTATGGTCTTACCAAGGGGATAGTATGCAAACTCATTCCTCATACAGTATAACAGTACCCTGCGTTGCAATAAGAGTCATGAGTCATGACTGATGTATTAAATATGCCCTCGATCTAGGCGATCACACCACCCTCAATAAATGCATGGAATATAACAAGTGAATGACAAAAACAAACCCTACTTCAAAGGGTAAAGACCACATAAAATAAATGGAATACAAAAGTGCGATACACATTCAAAACCAGCCTCAGAGCATGAATTAGAACACAAAGAGAACAAGGGCAAAACAACAGGCATTTAAATATTTTACAAATTTACACTTTAATGATGAACATCACATAGGATCAACTAATCAGGGTAAAGGAAGGAACAGCAAAGGCCAAAACTAAGACTTACTTCTTTCTTTCGGCATGCCACCTCTCGGCAATACCAAACCAGTTCCAAAGGAAACAAAGGCCGACAACACGAATAAAACCAGCAGCTACCACTTCAATGAATGCCATGCCATATGATGTCTGAGGAGAGACACCTGCTGTTGCAATTGAGAGCATGAATCCCTCAAAATTGCATGTCACAATGAATCTCCCGGCTTTTATGCCATCTAGAGCTTTCCTGGCAACTTCCTTGGCCTCCATTGCATAGGAAGAGGCTGCAATGATCTTAGTGATCTCAGGCTTTGTCTTGTTTTCTGCAGTCAGAGAACGTGTTTCTCATTTCCATTTCTAATAATTCATTTTTCTCATTTCCATTACAATAAGATCCCCATGAATTGACAATCACTACATGACCACAATGGCTTTCACACACATGCACGATTCTCCTCTTGACATTTACTATCAACTCTGTAAAAGTTCCAAATTAACTAACATTCCCTTCTAGATTCTTGCCTACTAAACAACCAATATGGACAATTGTTCTTCTCATATCATATCTGAATTCTACTAAAAACATAACAGAAGAAAGAGAAAAGCATAGAAGTGTACGTCATATTATAGAAAATCCTCACTACAGCTTTGGTTGTGTTAAAATTAGCATTGAATTCACAATCCTGTGTTTTTTAGCCTTGGTTGAAACTAGTCAATGGAATGGCAATGCAGCTACCAACTACAAAAACACAGGATTTCTCACCTTCCAATAGCCCTGGGGTTTGCGTTTCTGGTGGAAATATAAGGGACACACGAATGTTGTCTACAATGACCTCCTGCTGTAATGCCTCTCCTAGTCCGCGAAGGCCAAATTTACTTGCGGAGTAAGCTACATACCCATAGATTCCCACCTACCATGAAAAAATTTCTGAAGTCAACCACACAAAACAGAGAATTGAAAAAGTTTGTAATGCAACAAATGTAGGCCGCAGGGAGAATATACCATCATAATAAATGAAGCATCAACAAGGCCCGAATGCAAAGAGGAGGGAAATCATGGAAAATAAAGAGGACCAAATCATTCAAAGGAAAGGAAACAAAATAAAAGAGAGAGAGAGAGAGAGAGAGAGAGAGAGAGAGAGAGAGAGAGAGAGAGAGAGAGAGAGAGAGACGAGTACGACGTAGACGTAGACGAGTACGACGTACGTACGGTACGGAGGTACGGTACGGGTACGGGACGGGTACGGAGGTACGGTACGGTACGGT